CGGGATCTTTTTCCGTTCTCAGGTGAGGGGGAAGACAGCTGCTCAGTTGGGTATCTCAGAAAGAGCTAGCCTCGATCACTACTACTTCACGAATGGTGACTTGACTCTGAATTTTGTACGATTACAAAGATATCAACAGGACCTGCGTATGGCATGTAGCCTGTGCAGGAACATTAAATGCACTACATCAGCGGAGAGCCCTCTGAAGCAACTTGCCATGGACCTGGTATCGTATCGTCGTATCGTCAAATTTCAGAGCTTCAGTGACAGCTTCTGTGGTCTAGTGGTCATAGTTCCTGGCTACAGACCCAGAAGTCCCGGGTTCGATTCACGGCGCTACCAGATTTCTTGAGAAGTAGTGAGCCTGGAACAGAATCCACTCAGCCTCGTGAGGATAATTGAGGAGCTATTTCAAGGAAATAGAGGCTCCGGTCTAGAAAACCGAAGTTAACGGCCGTGAGGATTCGTTGCGCTGACCACGTGACACCCTCTATCCGCAAAAGTTGGCACTAACTTCGCCGACAAGCGGCGGTAGCTCGGTCGGTATAGTTCGCTTGCGGGCTACAGGCCACGGAGTTGTTTTTCAGTTATCCACCCTTGAGTTCGTCATTGACATCTCTGTCTAAGTGTATCTGCCGTCCCTGTCCATCGAATATCCGAAAGGGTACAATTTGTCGTCTAAAACAGCCATGAAACCCTGTAGTCAGATATAGAATTGGGATAAAAGTTTGTAGAATGAGAATTTTATAATACGATTCATTACTTGCATAGACGCATTTGATCACGGAAGTAACAGTGATATATTGTCACGTTTAGGGGGGTGGTGGTTGTGCGTGACTTATAAGACGGGGTTTGGATAGGATGGTTGAATTTATTGACATCTTATTCACCCAACTCGGACCTACATGCAATTACAGCGCCATCTCTGATCCACACATTACAGTTCACCGTTGCACACACACTAGGGTTCTCAGTCTTCACTAGTCGTATCCTGGCAACGGATTGATAACAGTCTCACAGTCACTTCAAATCACACGAAAGTCTTCTTTTCACAGACTCATTCCTTTCTTGCCATTATTCTGAAACTGCCAATTCGAAGACTCGACTGAACACAATTCATCTGTTCCCAACCTCATATCATGGCAGGCTGGCGTCTCGAAATTCGACTCCTCACTGAACGGCCTCGACTGAACACTTCTTTATAACAACTTTGTTAAGACCACACAGAAAACATAGCCTGTCGATTGTTGTATATGCGTGTTTACAACCGTTGTCTAGCAACGGAAGTTACTCGATTGTTGCTTGAGTATTCGTTGCCGCGGGGATGTGTTTACCGAGTCGTTGCCTAGCAATGGATGTCAGTTCTGACTTCATTATTCCACCTTTCGGGCGTCATGTCACAATGTGCAAGAAACTTCTCATACCGTAAAAATTTACCTAAATCCCCAAATCTTGTTCCTTTAGACTTCTTTATTCAATCATATGCGTCAAGTAAGGACTTCACACAAAAATGGTTACAAATGGAATACAATTAGGTATGTCATAATTATATTTGTTATCCCAGATATATTTTAGGGCACGAGGCAGCGTAGTTGGTTGAGGCACTATGCTACAAGCCGGAAGGTTGCAGGTTCAAGTCCCGATGAGGTAACTGAATTTTTTCAATTGACCTAATCCTTCCGGCCGCACTATGGCCCTGAGATCGACTCAGCCTCTAACAGAAATGAGTACCAGAAATTAATTAAATAATTTTCCTGGGGAGTAAAGCGCGGCCGGCGTGTAAGGCTGACAACCTTACCGCCATCTTTGAGCCGATTGTCTAGATAATGTGGAGCCCTCAACGTCTCACAACCCTATGGGCCTCCACGGCCTGTTACAGGGATAGCTTTACTTTTTTTTATATTTATCCCAGATATATTTATGTTTAATTCGCTTCGAACGCCTTCCAGTGGTTCATTCTTCCGTGTTTCAAATTTACTTTGTTCTTAGAATAATTTATATAATATTTCTTAACACAAGAACGTGATAAAATGAAACTCCAAAGAATATAATAACAGAAGCCAAATACACGCATGTAACCTGTAACCTAATCTAATAATTGGGTGCTATTATTTACCAGCATTTAAATATTTACTCGAGCCTGCTGCTGTGTCTGTTACACAGTGAACAGTTGAAGAAACTCTTGCAAGCTGTTTCGCTTTGTGATTTTACTTTTACAATTACTCATCCGTGAAAGTGACCGCAGGTAGAACCGCGAGAGTGAAAATAGTTTCCAGTGAACTCCTGGAGATGGCAGTAGGAAACAAGCGCTACACAAAGCTGTTCTGTAGCGTGTACAGTGCTTAGCCATTTAAAGAACGGCCGATTCTGTACACAGAATCAACTTTAATATTAAAAAAAAAAAACAGAACATACATTTTGCCCACAGAGTCTCTGCGTGTATTTCTTATGATTCTCAGAGTAAAGAACGTTTATTTCCCTGAACAGCATCAACAGATTTGTTTTCGAAGTGGAGATGCGTAGCGTTAACGCCAGGAAGAACGGAATTTTTAAATATGATTTAGATGAAGATTGTTATCTTCTGGGATATGTTACCATGTAGTCCGTTGAAAGTCAACCTACGTTTCGGAGGAACATATCACCTCCATCTTCAGGGTTAAATAAAACAAGCAAAATACGAACGTGAAAGCATGTGGCAAACCGAGCTTGCCTGCTTTCACATTGGTATCTTGCTTGGCTTATTCGACCCTGAAGATGGAGGCGATGTGTTCCTCAGAAACGTGGGATTGAAATAGCTTTAAACAGAGACAGTAGTAGACTTTTGTGAATGCGGTAATGAACCTTAGAGTTACATAGAAGTTGCAGAATTTTAATTGGATAAGTAGGCACTAGCTTCACAAAGACTGTCCTGCGAGGAGCTATTTAGTTAATTTACAAATAAAAATCTAGCCCCTTTTATACCCCAATTGCAAGGGTTATGATGATGGCGCATTTTACTCGTTTTTTCTAGCTTTCAGAGCTCTGTTCATTGTCTGAGTTTCTAAAAACAAGAAAACGTCGTTGGATTTGAGGTTCTCACAGCCTTGACTAAGAAGAGCTATATTTCTGCAGTATAATGATACGTAGTATCATGGACAAATTACAGGAAAGTAGGAACACTAAAACTGTTTTATGATGCTCTGTACTCTTTATTAACGATATTATTCGTTATGTACATCAGTATCTAGGAAAAATAAAACGTAATCCTTCTATAAAATTTATTTTCCGTATTTTCCTGACATACTCAGGCGCGAGTCTGATAACACTGCTTTATGAATGCCTCTTAACGTAAATACATATTTATTTAAGAGGCACAAGACACCTGTCCAGCTGCCATATAATGGAAATAAAATGGTCTCTTACTGTGAAACCAGAAGTCTAATTAGTATACAGGATTTAACACTGTAGATGTCGGCAAATTTGAATGGCGGATGTCACAAACAGGTAAAACGACTTGATAGCTAAATCCGATTGTTTTAATATTTTAGAACGCTTGAAATACTACGTTAGTTGACATTTCGGACAGCGTCGCCAGACGTCGGAATAAAATATCAGTTCCTTCATAAATTCGTAAAATGCCATCCATTTTCTGAATTGATCTGGGCACTGTAAATTAATAATAATCGTGATATTATAATCTCTGCGGAATTTCTAATAGTATACTATCTCTTATATAGAAATGAAACAAGCGGTATCATTTTTAAGGACTTAAATAATAAATACATCCAGTCTCTTTCCTATTAGTTTTTTTCCTTGGCACTACAGCCCCAGTGGGCCTAGGCCTACCTCCATGAACTTCTCCGTTCACTTCGGTTTTTCTAGATCTTACACATTTTGTAGGACTCCTTGGGCGGGTGATCAGCTCGTCGCAAGGCCTCTACCTGTACACAAACACAGAAAAACGCACACACACAAACTAAACATCCATGCCCTGAGTAGGATTCGAACCCACGATCCCGGTTTCCAAGCGAGCGAAGACAGTACATGCCTTAGACCGCTTGGCTACCGTGACCGGCTTTCCTATTAGATACGTGGGATTATTCCCTCACAGACAGAATGACATGTGCAAGAAGATGGCTTCATCTGTACTTACTGCTGAGTTCTGGAATATATGGAGTCTTACCTCCACTCTATATTCATGCACAATGGTAATGTGATGAAACACGGAACGAAGTTCCTTGTAACCTGCGTTTAAAGGTTTTTGGAGTAGGAGTGATACGTTGTTTAAAATTATTATTTTGTACTTCGCCTGTAGTCGTTGGTTCTATTTTCATCTTCTCATAAACAGGCTGCGAATTTGAACCGGACCCCTCGGTACGTATACTCTTAAACCATGGTTTTCGGAGTAGTTCTCAAAAAAAATTCTTTGAGGATACGTGTACAAGGGGCAGAAGAAACCTGAAATTTCGTTACCCTCTCAGTTAAAATCTTTGTCAGAAGTAACAAGACGGAATTCGCATACCTCGCATTAAAACCGTCATTAATGTCGTTATTCTTAAAACAGTCTAACTTAAAATTGTTGAGTAACACGTTTAGCTTTTTTTTATTGATAGTGGGGTGGGACTAAACCCCTTGTACTGCGGCCACTTCTGGCCTATTGTACCAGCCCCAGATGACAGGTGAAGGTGATTGTGGAGCAATTAGTGGAACGAAGATTGGCAGGGGAAACCGAAGTACTCGGAGAAAACCTGCCCCAGCGCCACTTTGTCCACCACAAATCCCACTTGACCAGACCCGGGATCGAACCCGGGCCTCCGCGGTGGGAAGCCAGCGACTAACCTCTTGAGCTATGGCGCGGCCCAACACGTTTAACTTACTGCCAATTATGGGTCAAGATAGGAGAAAAAGATAAGAAATACACTTTCATTTAATAAAATGATAAACAGTAAACTAATAGTTTTAACCAAAAATACAAACTTTGCTTTTACCCGTTTATTAACGTTATCATTACAATGTTGCAGCATAACTCAACGTTGATGTGAACTGTTGAGAATTCTGGCTCTGTCTCTACACGCTGTGTGATTGCGCTGTCGACTCGACCACTGCTGCCACCATGCGGCTCTCAAGTAAGCTTATTCTTTTGCTGTTATTAATTCAGAAAAATAAAAGCTTATATCGCTCTGTATACATAAGCATGTGCGGTTTGTGTATATACGCAGCCTGTATTCGTAGGGGCATGCACTATTTGCAGGTTGTTTCTCTGCACACAACAGATTTGTTTCTCTTCCCTTGCCTCGCAAATGATTCACTCTTGAAGTCGGGCATGTTGATCTGGTAGGTTTGCGCATATGCGCGCTCCGGCAGCGGAGCGTGGTATATCAATAAATTGTTTTCTAATAAAACTGTATAATGTAATGACGTTACTTGTATTTTTAAACACTATTTGTAAGTTAGTAGCGACCACCTCTGTGGTCTAGTGGTCAGAATTCTTGGCTACAAATCCAGAGGTCCCGAGTTCGTTTCCCGGCGACACCAGGTTTTCTGTGAAGTAGTGGGTCTGGAACGGGGGTACACTCAGCCTCGAGAGGATAATGGAAAAGTAGCGGCTCCGGTCTAGAAAACCGAGATTAACGGCCGTGGGAAACCGTAACGCTGACCACATGACACCCTCTATCCGCAAAAGTTTGCACTAACTTCGCCGACAAGTGGCGGTCGCCCGGTCGGTAGAATTCGCTTGCGGACTAAAGGCCACGGAGTATTTGTAGGTTAGTACAATATTTATTCACTTTTAATTAACCAAAAACAACACATTTAGCCACCGTGTTTAATCAAAAGTATTGCTGGTCAACCGTTGAGTCTGTTGCAAGGAAGTCTGCTGTAATCTAGTTTTCGAGAAAGCAACCTATCCCATAAGCCCCTGTCTACGTATATGTACTGTTTTTATTGCTAGTGGGGTGGGACTAAGTCCTTTGTACTGCGGCCACTTCTGGCCTACTGTACCAGCCCCAGATGATAGGTGAGGGTGATTGTGGAGCAATTGGTGGAATGAAGATTGGCAGGGGAAACCGAAGTACTCGGAGAAAACCTGCCCCAGCGCCACTTTGTCCACCACAAATTCAACTTGACCAGACCCGGGATCGAACCCGGGCCGCCGCGGTGGGAAGCCAGCGAGCTTGAGCTATGGAATCGATTCCTCGAAAATATTGATCTCTATCGGAGCAAGTATGGGCGGTCAGCACTTACTGGCAGGGATGAGAACTACTAGTATGTCACAGGATCCTGTTGGAGAAATACGGGCTTAGGTTGAGGAGGGAATGAATGCTCCAGACGTCAGTGTAAACATTGTTTTAAGAAGGGTATCAGGAGAAGATTGAATATCCCTTATGGCCTCAGGAGCACAGATGATATTGGATGTTGTCTAAAGTTTGATATTGAATTGTAAGGGAGGATAAAATTCGAGAGAAAGAAAAAAGGAATATATAATTGTAAGAGAAAGAAAATGAAAAACAAGTAGAGACAAAATATTATATATTGACAAATTGATATGAGTAAAAAGACCAGTAACTCTGGAACCTTGTCTCCTTACTATAGGTAGGAGCTTTTGACATATCCATAAACCACACAGAATTTTGTTAAAGTGAAATAAACAGGACAGTTTCAGGAAGTAGAGCAATTTTCTGCTGCATTTGTTGGTGGAGCTGATTTAGGCTTACCATTGTCATGTGAAATCATATTTGTCTGACAGGTGTCAGTATGGGTAACACACATTAAATTTAGTTGGAGTGAATACAATCAGGTTGATTCAAGCAGGCAATCACAGGTCATAATGCCGAAGATAGGAAAATTTATAGTCTGTTTTGAAACCTTCCTAAAAACCTTTCAAATGTATTTCTTTCGAAGTTAAAATTGTCACAGGTACGTCAAAATAGATCCGAAAAAAATGGAGATTTTGTATGAAATTCTAATTCCGTCATGAAACTAGGCTGTTTAAGATGTATTCTTTTTGACTGTTTATTAATACCATCTAGTAGCCTTTGCCGAGATTAGACGATTAATCTATTCTTAAGGGAAGTTTTAAATAAAAATGCTATTTTTTGACATTAAATTAAACACCTCCATTTATTTATAACATTCGTAACTTACTGAAATAATGAAGGTATTTTTTGCTAAAATTCGGAAGAAAATTATACTTAAGTTTCCTGAACTGAAAACAACAGCGTCAGTTAGAATAAGGGAAAAATACATACCGGTGTTGAGGGTATCTGAGAACATGATATTCAGGAATATATTGTCACGTGGTTTAGTGACCTTAGACGCGAGTTTGGTTGGTGAGTCGATTTATTGGATGTTCACCAGGCAGGATTACAATTGATTATGACACTTCGTAACTACGAAAAATGATGACATTCTATAGGTTACTGTAACTACACCATATAAACTGAAGGCTTTACTTCTGCCTTCTGACTTCTGTGTCTGACTTCTTATCACATCTCCCGAGTCGAGTCTAGTCGAGTCTTATGTTACGACTAACGGCCAGTCGACCAGCGTGTCTTGAATAAAGCACCCATCTGGGGCTTACGACCAGACTTTTATTACCGTCAGACAGTTGCTGGTATGTTGATGTGGAGTGCTCTCTCTGACGAGAGGACGAGTTTGTTGTTTACAATTGCTGCTGGACCTCGCCAGCGCATTCATTATCGGGTCCGAGTCCCTGTCTCAGATTCGAGACTTCCCTTTTTGTCGCCTCCTACGACTCGTAGGTCTACGGTGGAGGTATTCGACCCCGCCTCCACGTGGGATTAGTAATATCTTTTTTTTTTAAGTCATGGGCCCTGCATGTGACATTATTACTGTTGTATCACTTTTCCTATTTGATCACAATGAGCATAGCAGATTTTGAAGAAGTTACTTGTGTAGTCCGCTGAAGTAAACCGGTATACCAGTTGCACATTTTTGTTTCCCTCATATCACTGTCTCGATATTCATTTACTGAAAATAATTCTAGCAATTTCTTGTTGTAAATATTTTTGCAAATGTCGCACTAGTGAAACAGAAATATTACTTTAAATGTTTCCCTCACTCAGAGATGTTTTAAATACTGTCACGTGTTAGAGTGTCTCTCGACGGGGGTTCGGATTGGATATCGTATCCACTGGCTGCCCACGAATCGCCACCGCAAGCAACTACAACAGTCCCACTGAATCTCACACTCCAATTTTCATTGTAACCACAGCTCACACGAAATTTCTCTGTCTTCACCAGACGTTTCCTGGTAATCGACTTTAACACAGTAATTAGGGCAAGGGCACACCAAGGAAATCGGCAACCGCAACGCAACCTCAATTTCCGAGAACTGTTATCAGCCTGAGTTCAACACATTTTACTGAATGAAGGGACGCAAATTGAGGAAACTTCGGTTGCGTTGCGGTTGCCAGTTTTCTTGGTGCGTCCTCGCCCTTAATCTTAACGCGTCCTCCGTTGACGTGCTTTGAACGATTCGTTGCCGTGGATACCGGTTACAACAGTTAGTTGCATATTGTGTATCAAAACCCTAGTAACTGAAGCCGTTGTACCGGGATCGTGCTTTGTTAATACTCGTTGCCTGGGGAATCAGCATCCGATCTGACTCCACTATTCCGGCTTTCAGGCGTCATGTCACAATATATACCTGGGAGAGAGGAAGTATCAGGGTGATAGAGAAAATTACTGAACGAAGAGCTTCATAATTCTTACAATTCATTAAATATTTTAGGAGAATCACACCAAGGAGGATAAGATTGGCTGAATATGTAGCATGCACGTGAAACTTACACGAAAGAAAGAAAGGAAAGAAGCCACTGAAAGGATCCGGGCTTAAATGGTTATATAATACTAAAGTGGATCTTAAGGAAATAGGCTGAGAGAGTGCGGAGAGGATTCATCTAGCTCAGGATATGAACCCATGTGCCCCGTAAAATTCGACGAAGCCCTTGACTAGCTGAGCGACAATTAGTTTCTCAAGAAAGGTTCTGCTTCGTGAAATTGGTTAAAACGGTTATATGATTCTGAATAAGGAACTGATTTTGCATGTAGATTTTGCATATTTTGTGCGATACTATATATATATGTATAACATTTCCAATTTCATGCATGTTCCCTCCTCACAGAGGAGATCATGACAGCAATGCACACAGATGCACTGTCTGAATGTAATCCATCATCCCATCACCCTCTGCGCTTGCGTGGAACGTCAAGAATTCCTGTGTTGTTACGACTCTGTAGCCTAAGACTTGATAACCTACGTGAACATACAAAACATACATTTTACATTGTAACAGGAAGTCTGCTCTTTGATTGCTGTCTTTATTAATTATGGCCCGCAGTTCGTTAATCCTTTTGTGTGTTGCGCTAGTCTCTCCCCCCTAATTACATTGCTGTAGCCTCATGCATATTAAGTGTCACTCTCGCTTGTTAGCTTATCTTTATTTGAGGAGTCTGTAATTCATACTTTATCACAAGATTTTTCAAGACTTAACATAGGTTCATGATGATACAATTTTGAGAAATTTTATGAGCTAAGGAAAACAAGTAATTTCGAAAAATGACACATAATATATATGAGAGATTATAAAACTGAGATAGCGTATACTGAGAACGAACGGTTTTGTCATCTAGGATAAAACGCCATATAATGAAATCAACGTTTCGGAGGGAAATGTCGCTTCCAGCTTCAGAATAAAAGAGAAACTAGCATGAAGCAGGCTGCAAGCGATCTCTCCTTATTAAGTTGCGGCCACACAGAGCGCTACGTACGCTATGTTCGCTATACGAATAAAAAAATATCTCCCTTTATTGCCAATGTGACTGGCCACACAGACTTCCGTACGCTACGTACGCTATGTTCGCTATGTTAGCTGCGTCGTAGAGTGTTTGATTCTCGGCTATATTTTTAAAACTTCGCGGTGGACGGGCATGCGCACTGGGCTCTCTTCCAGGTGTCAGCTGTGCGCCTCAGTAATTTCCCACTCTGATTACAACACGTGTTACGTATCATTCAGCGCAGTATTCGCTTAGATGAAAATGTCACTGGAGGAATTAATTGAAGAAGTACAGAAGTGTCCATGTTTGTGGAACAAAGGGTTAGAAG